GATATTCTTGTTTCATCAACTTGTTTGTCAATAACTTACCTCGTTTTAGAAATTGTTCATACGTAGAGCATGTTCTTGCGTATCGAATCAACTGAGATATATACACCCCATATGCAGGTGATAAGGGTATATTGCTGCATAAGTAAGGGAAGTTGACGATTGAAAAGTTAGTCATCATATTTATTATAAAGTTTTGTTGTTAGATTACCATTAACGTCTTTTTCTAGTAAAATATCCAAATATGAAACAGATGTCTCAGACATCATTTCAAGCTCATCGAGATATATCGTGTCGACATATGAATGGAAATAACTATAATTGAAAATTGATAATATGTCGTCGATCTACATGTATCTAAATGTCGAGTTGAAGGCCACAGCAAGAGATTTCTTTTTCTCATGTATAAGATTTTGAATAAACTCTGCTTCAAATGAAAACAAAAAGAGGTCTGCTAACAATGGGGCGCAATTGGTACCCATGGAAATTCCAACAGTTTGTTGGAAGACCTGGTCTCCAAAAACCACATTGATACTGCAGTATTTTCAATCAGAAAATCAAGCATCTTTTTAATGTCCGTTAAATATGGTGTTCCGTAGGGGGCACTTGCTCCTTCGCACTCTCGCATTCAGGGCGAAGATGCGAGAATGCAAAGTTGCAAAGGCGAAAATGCGAAGTTGCAAAGGCGAAGGAGCGAAAGTGCAAAGATGCAACTGTGAAGCGCCAAGATGCGAAGGCGAGAGTTCGAAAGTGCGAAGGCGAAGGAGCGATACTAATATCGCACTTTCGCCTTTGCATTTTCGCCTACGCAACTTCGCACTTTCGCCTTTGCATTTTACTTTTGTGGAGCTATGAAGTTGCAAAGGCGAAAGTGCGATATTAGTATCACTCCCTCGCCTTCGCACTCTTGCTTTCGCATCTTCGAGCTTCGCCGTCGCATCTTCTGACTTTCGCTCCTTCGCAACTTTGCCCCAAAGGCGAGAGTGCGCAGATGTGAGTGGCCCCAACGGAACACCATAGTAAAGAACTTTACCCGAAAAATACATGGCAATTTTCAGATAGTCATACTTTCGAAATAGGTGAAACACAGTGTAAACTGTGTCTCAGATTTACCAGAAAATTGTGAAATATCTCGTTTTAAAATATCCAGTCTTATTTGGAAACCGAGACAAATAGAAAACCAAAAACTGAGAACCAAACGAAAGTCAAAAAAATTGGAATATCTTGATTGTCATTAAAAAACGTTAAAAACTTATAAGTTTCTTTAAAATTGAAAAAAAAGGGGAGAAAAAATCAAAATTTTCAAAATTACTTTGAATTTTACTTGAGTCTGTTATTCTATCAATGACTGTTTAATGTGTTTATATCTCGAATCATCATCATATTCTCTGTATGTATAATATAGGAAACACATGTTAAAAGTGTCTCTCTAGCTGTCCGTCTCTCTAGGAAAGTCCAGAAACTAGATCAACTTTCAATTTGCTGAATTGGGGACCAATCGTACACAATAAATTTTATCACAATTTTGTCCTTTTAATGCAAATGAGATTGGTGCCAAGGGTGTAAACTGTTTTTACTTGGAATTATCACATTGTAGGTAATAAATATTATTAATTAACCAAAAACTAAATTTTCATACTTTCTTTTGTATTTGATCGAGAGACAGTCAAAAAAATTGATTTACATGTAAATCAAAATTTCTTTTATCTGTCAGTTCAATATGTGCTCGTCGAAATTTTGCTCATGAAATATTTGTAACAATTATTAGTTTATAGACCATGTAGATCATTTTTCTGAGGAAGGGAGTAAAAGAAACTATTTACAATTATAATTCAAGGTTGTACTTTTTTGTGGGTGGAGATACAGGATTTATTAAGTAAAAGGTATTTAATCAACTTTTTTTTCAAAAGTAGTATGTGTTTTGTGTACAAATGTGATAAGGACATAAAAACCATGGTTTGCAATTAAACTATTGCATCTGTGATTTGTATTGCTTTCAGTGCATTAGCCTAGCATGCACATGACAAAGTACTTTATTTGGAATACAATATTGAACATCATCCGGGAAAAAAATTAAATTTTTCAGAGCTGAGATGCTGAGGGGTGTTTTATTGCTTTTCAAACCTATCTACAATATTGGGTACAATATTATAAAAACTGCATTATTCAGATTAATCTGTTTATAAACACACACGTAAAACGTCATTCGAATTTCTAGAAAAGCCTGTGTGGTCTAGATTTTAAAAAAAAAAAATCAGTCAAATTGTCGGAATGAATACAAGAATTTTTCTGAAAAAAATATTTTCTTTATCTTAGAAATGGAACTTTGACAACATATTGATCAATAAATTAAACTTATTGACATGAAAACAAATAAACATCCCACAATTTCCTCTAGCAAGAGAACTGCTAAATTGTGGCCATACTAGTACTGAAAAAATAAAAATTAGTCATAAAAAAAGAAACTTGAAATGAAAGACTAAGTACAGTGTATGGCTCGTATGTTGTGACTTAAAAACAGTGTAAGTCCATGGTATTTTATAATTATTATTATTGTTTATGTCTTTTATAAAGGTAATTTCTAATGTTACAGTACATGTATTTAAGACATACATTAAGAGTCTCCTAATTAGTCCAAAGAGAGCTTCTATGTCTATCTTAAGAAGTGTCCTAGGAACTTCTTCAAATTTCTCATAAGTCGTATCTTGAAATTATTCCTAGGAACCTTTCGATAGCATGTCTGCTGGACTTCTACAACTCTTCTAAAACTCTTTGAAAACTGAATTTATACGCGGGCTTCCACCGCATACGTCTTGACAGCACCAGAAAATCAATGCGCCGCCCCCCTGATTTTGTTCTCAGGCAGCCAAGGTATCACGAACCCCTAAATGACCCCGAGTTTGGTCGGTGCAACCCTTGGTCATTGGGAGTGCAAATTAATTTTTCCACGGTGAACTTATGTTTCCTTTTGAATTTGATTCATAACATTTACTTAAAGATTTGAATGGGAATGGTTATAGATAAAAATCATTTCCTCTTAAATTGACGTCATGCAGTTTTCGACACAGGAGGCCTCAATTAGATCATAACTGGTTTTTGTTTTTAGAAAAAATAAACAATTTAAGTGTTCTTCCCGGCTTTTACTTTTTAAAATTTTTTATGTTCATGACTTTTATCATATACAAATATCCATTTATCTAAATCTTAAAATACCTTTACCAGTCAAAGGAATATTTACAGCTATATGAAAATGTGGTTTTTGCGGTGACGGCTCTTGATAATCCCCTTTGCTTTTTAAATAAATCATGGTCAGTTCAATTGAGATTTATATACGCTCCCTGACATTTGTAACTCAAAAAATTAATTATTCTTTAATCATAATTAACTGTTCCTTAATATGGACAATAAATCAATTTTCACTGTTTTTGAAAATCCGACTAAAAACAAGTCTGCACTGGTACGTTGTAGGACTGCTTTTTATGAAGTGAATATTATTTATTAAAATACATTACATTAATTTTCTACACTGAATGTTTTGCCCCCCCCCCCCCCCCCTGCATATGCGTATTCTTCTTATAGCAAAGTCTAGTTCTTGACGTTCTTGTATAACAGAGAAGGTTCGCAATATTCATGAATGTAAAATTTCTTTCGAGTGTACTAGTGCTTTGGTCAGTGTATTGTCATTGTGATTGTGCAGTTAGGGTTTTACTTTGGGGTTACTGGTACCAGAAATCTATGCGAAATCAACACGAAATTGCACTCTAAAAGTTAGACAGGAAGAAGTCAAAACTTCTTATAGCCTTAGAGAGTACTTTTTGAACCAAAAAAAAAATGAAGTCGCGCACTCTAGAAGCTCGATAAGGATCTCGTACATAATTTTGTTTCGTTGAAAATGTAAATCTTTGACAGCTCCAATGACCGAAAATTGAATTCTAAACACTTTCTTATCCATTGCTCATCTATTTCGTTTCAATGCAAGCACTGAACCTTCTCTACTGGTGATGGATTGCACAATGCATGCACGGCACATTGTACAAGCAATTCTAAAACAAACGTCATATTTAAAAAAAAGTGTCTCCGTCATCTACTTATTACAGTCAAACCTGGGATTTACAATTCATTGTCTTTACAGAGGTGAACACACCACAGCCAATTGAACCCTCTTTGTTTCAAGAATCTTGTTCATCATTTTGAGAGATCTTGCGGTAAGAGACTGGGTTTCAGGTTTTTCATGAAGCACTAATTTATTGTCTAAACGTAAATAAAATGACACCTTTTACATCCGTTATTTAAGCTTAAGGAAGCTCTGCTCACTGAAGAGTTCTATTCTATGGTATAGTTTATGCAGAAAGAGTGATCTGCCCTTTGAGGCAAGATAGAAAGAGGACATCGTTTTCATTAGATAGAAGTGTTCTTAACACTGTATAAGACCAAGATAAATTATTTGAATACTAATATATTATTTGCATTTATTGTCCCAATGAAAATAAACAACGGTGATTTCCAATACTTCATTAATTCTGGAACATTCTTCCTTGAGAAATTTGGCGGGTACCTTGTGTTGAAAATGACCTAAATAAACTCAATATTTACATGTTTTCTCAAAGCCCCCCCCCCCCCCGGAAAAAAACCCCACGTTTTTTCCTCTTAGTGTTTAGAGCTTCCTTGAAATATTAACCCAGTAAGGAGTCCATAGACTTCATGCAACATGTAGTACATGTAAGTACTTCATTTCTTCTTAATTGAGACTCTGTTTACAGGGACATGCAGTGTTGTTTTTTCCTGCACTGTTTCCTGCACAACAAAGAAGATATTACTAAGAGGTACATCATAAGGAAGATCTCATATAATAGCAAGGACACACTTACATAAAAGAAAATAGATACTGTGATGATTTTCCTTTTGCGCAATGAACACTGTGATAATTCCACATCCTGTTTTTCTTTCCTTGAATCTTGATGTCAGTCATATCAGAATGACAATAAAAAACAAAGACTATGATATTAATTTTTAGTATATTTTAATTGTTCATATTAATAATAAATGGGACACTGAGTGAAGTATCCCACATTATATGAGGTACATAAAACATTTATATTGCATGTTGCTATGACAACAGGACATTCACTACTGGTACTCTGAGGACAAGTTTATAAAAATTAAGAAAATATAAAAAAAAAATTGGAATTTTTGTTAAAATCGATATTTGTTCTGCTGCAATCTTTTTTATTGAAATTGCTGCAACTGTTAGTTCCTAATCAGAATAGCTGTTCAGATTGTACTTTCTCTTTGAAAAAGAATGCAAGTGGCACATTAAACCCTATAAAGGGAAAGACAACTCCAACCAACAAAGGGAGGTTAACACCACACAATGATTGATAAATGCTGTTTGATGTTGCATAGAGTTAAAGCACCAGTATTCTACAAGATATTTACATATTTACAAAATGATTATTGGCACTTGGTTTTAAACAATGTACATTCAACTGGAGAATTTTATACAAAATAAAAATAAATATTCGTTGACATTCTTCCCTTATGATAGGCAAGAATACACTATGTACAATTACAGTTGTATTTACAGGATTTTCACACGCACCACTCTCTCATGAATTATTCCCCTTTGAACACTTGATCAGTGTTGAGTTATTGCAAGCATAACAATGTTTATAATAATTATAAGCAAGTGACACAGAGGAAATAACACAGATATTGATTATAACAAGCTTAAGATTTTTGAGGTAATTTGGTATAAGTGACAACTATTTACAAATTTCTTGTTCAGAGTATTTCATTTAAGTAAATGAATAGTTCTTTATGTCGAAAACTTAATATCATCATCAGTACATGACAATAAACATATAGAAAAAATGACCTTAATAACAGTATTGCCTTATCTCAGAAACTCCCTGAATTCATAACCACAGCCAGTTTTCTTAAACACTGCGGACCTAAAACATCACAGTTTAATTCTGTCAATTTAATATTAATAGCAAAGCACTTTAAGGATCTCCCTGCATGACACCTGTTACAACACAAAAGCTGCCTATTTCTGACAATCATTTGTAAACATATGAACTGCATGGCAGTGAAACAAGTGACATGAATTTTGATTAAGTTTGTGATATTTACACATATGAGATATCAGGATCCTCCTCAGTGCGGTAACTGAAGGCCTGAGGGCCCCCCAACCGTCGGTGGGATGGTAAACTTTTGGTGGGTGGGGTGCTCCTCCCCGTGCTCCCACTCCCTACACTACTCTGACTGGACATACTCAATCTTGAGGTGTCTGGTCGGCGAAATGGTGGGGGAGGTTGGTAGGGAGGGGGTGGGGGACGAACACCAGTGTCCTTGACATTGTCACTAAATGGTTTAGCTCCATCTTTGTCATAGATTTGTTTCAAAGATTTCACACTCCAGGGAAGATCTTGTTTTCTCTGTGATTTGTCACTGTCTCTATTGACCATGTCCAAACTGGCAGATAGACGATTTTGAGCTGTGCTGGACCTTGCATACAGATCTCGGTGGTTGGCTATGACAGTAGAGTCTCGTGATTTAGATAGCACTGTCAGGTTCCTTCTTGGCGACTCCTGGGACTCTGTCCTTGGTGAACTGGCTCTTTGACTATCAACAAAGTCATGTGATTTAACCATTCGCTTCTCCCGAATTAGATTACTTCCTTGTGAGCTTGGATTATGAACACTTAATTCAGGTTTAGGGATGGATTTTACACCAAGTTCTTTTTGTGGGGATCTTTTTGCACTACTACCTCTAGAAACAGGAGGATTGTTCACTTTTTGTTCTGTATGAAGGGAAGATGATGATTGAGCACTATCTAATGAACCATAGTTGGCTTTAAATGTTAAAGGATTTGTCTTTGGGAAATGATGGCGGGGTATAACGGGGCTCGACTCAGAACGGTCTCGTTGATTTGGTGAGTTTTGTCGTGAGTCAGTGACTGTCTCTGATGAACTATTTGACACACTAGATGAGGAATGACTCAACCTTGTGGTGGAAGGAGAGGAGTCTCTATGCGTTGAATGAACCCGATAGTTGGGGGAGGGCTCTCTGTGACGAGAGACCACACTCACTTTGTTCACATACTCTGCAGAGTCACTAGAACTTCTCTGTATATTGGTTGCACTCACATTTGAAATGTTTTTGTTCTCGAAATGAGGTCTCTGAGATTGTTCTTCAAACAATTTCATAGATTCCTCATAAAGTTGCTTGGGATTTTTCTGAGACAAAGACACATACACATCCTCCTCTGTACTTTCACTTCCACTTTCAGAGGTTGTCGACTCATCCAAGGAGGGTCTCCTGGGTGTAGATTCCTGTGCATTTAATTTACGAATCGATTCCTCATACAAACTCTTGGCTCGCTTTTGTCTCTCTTTTTCCATTTGAATGTCTTGTTCAGAAATTTCCAAAGGAAGTCCTTTTTCAATCATATTTTTCCTTCTGACAGCCTCGTCATAAGAAGGTGGTTTCTCAGGCCTTGACACAGCGGGACTATCTGAATTGTTTGTCAAGGTTACATCACTGTCACTATCACTTTTTGGTGTGGGTACATGCTTTGTAACATGTGCCTCTGTTTTAAAGGTGTCTTTCTCAAACTGAGAGATAATAGCACTATCATAACTGGCACGCATTGGTGTGTTTGCTGCTGGTTTTTGCACTGATTTATGTTGCTGTAGCACAACATGTGGGGGAGGGGATGTCCCCAACCCTGGGGTAGCATATTTAGAAAGCTGTTTAAGAGGACTACTTGAATGTGACAAATCCATAGCACTTTGTCCGTAACGCGATGACGTAGAATCAGAAAGTTTATCTTGTGAGAAAGAAGAGCGAGGTAATGGAAATGATTTGGCTTGGGACAAGTTCAAATGTAAATCCAGACTTGTTGATTTTCTCTTGCTCCGAGGTGAAACAGGTGGTGACACTAAGTACTGAACATTCTGTATTGATTTTGGCATTGGCATGGTCAGACTGTTTGACCTTTGGAAATTTATTGAAGAATCGTCTTTAAACTCACGAGCAGATTCAAATGACTCCCGGAAGCTCTCGTCTGCTGTAAACCACTGATCACTATTGTCTGTGTCTTTGCTGTATTGTCTGTTCAAATACGAACTCATGGAGTCCGTGAGAGAACTGTCTAATGAACTGTATGAGAATTTTGACTGAGGTGAGGTGGGTGGGGTGCTTTCAGCCACAGATTTTTGTCTCTGAAGTCTGTTCTCGCGTTCTCGAGATAATCTAGTCATCGGACCTGTTATCTCAGCTGGATAACTCACATGTTCGTCTTCAAAGTACAGGTGACAGCCACTCCTTGATTTGACAAGAGTTGTATTCACACGACTTTTAGCAGCATTGTCCAGATTTTCTTGTGAACTGTACAGTCCTGAATCTCGACTAAGACTAGAGGGAGAAATATGACTCTTTGCGAGATTCGGACTGGAATCATCAAAGTACATCCTTTCCAAACTATCGACTGATGAGTCATCATGCCGCATAATGCCACCTACAAAAGCAAAGGAATGTACAAGTCAGATGTAAAATTTTCAAAATTCAGTTTAGAATCAACATTTAATGTAGCACGCTGCTGTTCTTTGTACTTACTTGCCGAGTCAGCCATGCTGAGCACGCTGTGCATGCTATCAGAATCTGTGCTAGAGTCCTGCCTAATCTTGTGCTCCAGTAAGTCCCCAAAAAGATAAATCACGTCCTCCCCAAAAAGTTCTACACAGTTCATGATGAGGTACTCCACTATCTGCTGAGGGGATTTAGCCATGGCGAGGGCTCTCATAGGGTCGTCCCCTTGTTTGGCCCAGAGGATACTGGGAGCGATGCACACGGAGAGGTTATACGATGTCATCATGTTCTCCTTGTGGTTCTTATCGATGTGGTACAGCACACATAATAAGTGCTTCAGAAGCTCTCTGTGACCCTCGGGAAGCTTGTTCAGAAGACTGTTAAAGAGAAATAGGAAATTTATTTGTTGTTCTCACATTAGAGGAAGTGTATTTAATTATCAGTTTTTAGGAATGATCAAATAATATATATATAATTAATATTCATTTCAAAAGTTCATTGGTATTAATTTTCAATATGAAATTAAATATATTTATAGTGATTTTTTAAAAATCAAATTTGAATAAGGAAGCCTATTTTTATTCTAATTAAAAAATGTAAGGAACTGACTCATTTCCAGATCTTTCAAATATTTGAATAATTTCTCGCATAAGAGACTTCAAGATGGCAATCGGAGTGATAAATGTTGTGAAGTGAGGAGTCATATGATTTCAAATCAATCATCCTCTATTTACACAAAGAATCAATTGCCCATCACCCTAAACTGTTATAACGGGCAATTGATGAGTCAATTACAGGGTATGGAAAACCAAAGAAGATCAGGCCCCCAGACTTCAAAGCACTGTGGTCATCTAGCCTAATTAAAGCATGGACATTAAGTCCTCCCTTAAATGGATGCGGTTTTGTTAATGCCATCACTAACTGACAGAAGAATAAACTTTGAGTCAGTCAGTACAGTCAAAGGCCTGGAAACTTGGTCAGGTTTTAAAATACCTGTGGTTCTAACATGCTTAAATGAATTTGCCATTATGTTTCAACAAAATAAATAAAGGGCCTGATAATAGGGAATGGTCATATACACCTACGTATGTATATATAGATATATCTACTACACGTTATACGCACAAGGACTTCTAGGGCATACCTGTAAAACTATCAAACTTTAAACAATAACTGGGGGCCATTTTTTAAATCTTTCAATGAAATTGACAATCCATAACCATATCAATAGATCAGATCTCCAAAATAGGGGGGAAATAAATGTGTGTGATCAGATCTAGATAGGGACTGACTCATCAAAAGAAGATGTCATTTTATGGCAGGGAGAACATGCATTTACAGTGTCTTATAAGTCCCTCTACATACGAGACCTGTGGACAGCCTTTCATGTCACTTAACAAAACACATGTTAAACACTTAGCTCTATTGTGTTGGCCTTCACTTAAAACATCTTCATGCCCTACAGTGATGGTAGGGTAATAATTACGCTATCATATCATTAGATTGAGAAGACTTTATTTCTGTTAATTGCTGATCATAAACTTGACAAATTGTCTTTGATATTTTTAGCTTTACCTTCTGACTTTTTCCAGCTTCTGTGGGGAGTTTTCCTCCTCAGTGAGGCTGATCCATTCCTCGAAAAACTCCTCATATAGAAGACAATGTGGTAAACTCCTGAGGTATTCCTAAAGAACACACAAAAAAAAAAAACTGTTAGTGTCTTCTAGAAACAGCTTTAAATCACCTGGCTTTCCCTAATTTCCCCTTATTTTTATCTATTGTAGAATAGGAAAAACTTACTTTCAGTAAGTGTCCAATGACAAGAGTTGGGGTCTCCTCATCTAAACAATCTTGGCCCTCGTCCAGCTTCTGGTGAAGTTCTTTGGCCAGCTTGATGTTGCAGGACTTTCTGAACACCCCTTTGGTGTATGGGCCATTTATGATCACCAGTCTCATCAACTCCTGAATATTAGAAAAAATCAATATTAGCATAATTTGAAAAAAAAAAATCATTTTCAAGTACATGTATAATTAACTCAATTTTAAGAATACACTGAATTTGCTTCAAATCTATTTATCGTCTCCATTTACTAAAAGAATGTCAAAGTTACAGAAGAAATCCCTTTTTAGTGGGCAGAGGGTCCCTCCACAAGAAGTGTCATTTTGCAAAGCAAGAAAGAACCAGGATTCTTACCATAACAGCTTTTGGCAGTTGCCCATCTTGCATGACATCCTGTAGTGGATGTCCAAACAGTTTGCCGGGAGGGGTCGTGTTGTTATTCTTATCATCCTTCCCTCTCTTGAAGAAATTGAAAGGAGACTTTTTACTCTTGGACTTATTCCCCTTATTGCTCTCATCTGGAAAAAAAAGAGGAAAATTAATACATCTCAAAGTTGTCCATTACCTATGCATCCTGTCTAAGAAAGAGCACTCTTGGATTCAGAATTAGCCTATACATACATGGATACAGTCTCATCGACCTCTGAACGGCCACCATGGTTGCAAAGCTTTGTATTATCTGATCATTAGAGAAATGGCCTTAAGCGTGTGGTGTGTTCCTTGTACAGATACACACTAAATTATTTTGCTAACCAGCTTTTACTTTTAAACCATGTTTTGATTTAGGATCTCAAAACAACCCTTCTGTAAGATTAAAACTCCCACTCCTGCTACCTAAAGGGGTAAAAAACATTTCACTCATCCCCAAATTCCTTGACACAGTTCCATAGTGAAGAGCACAGACTTCAAAACAAGAGTCTTTTATTTAGAGAGAAAAGATTAAGTAATTTAATCCAAGCTTAAGCCAGTTCCTTTTAAAGTCTGACCATGCAGCAATCCATTGTCCACTTGTGAAATTTTTTGAATTGGTCAAGAAAAAAGCTCTATAAATTGTTTTTCTGTCCAGCCAGCTTTTATGAATGACTTGTGGTCATAAACAAGAGATCATTATAAATATAGACCGAAGTGGACAAAACAGGGTAAATCTCCTAACAACTTTATCTGGAATTTTCTAGTCCCTTGCCAAACTATTTCAAGAGCCTACTTCATGTTCAAAACAGGAGCGGAAAAGAAACTAAAACTTTAAAGTAGGTCAATACTACGAGAACTTTTGAATATACCCTATAAAATTTTTCAAGACATTTTCAAACCATTTCCGTGCTGAGTTGTCACTTTAGAAACATAAATTTTGCATTCAGCCTAATGAATTTTCAAACTTATGTCAGTAGGTCTCCTAACTTTTGGCAACTAAAGGTGTTGGCTTGATAATTGACACTTTAATGAACATTCACAGAGTTATTAGAATAAAATTTAACAATAGAGAAATGAAATTTATTGTTTTAAAAAGAGATGAAGTTAAGAAAACTCATCAATCTTGGTTTTCTATTTGCATAATGACATATTACTATACAATGTAAGTGAGGGGTTGCATTTTTATTGTTCCAAGTTTCAGCAACCAAATATAATGTAGCTGCAGGTACTGTTAATAACAGTTCATGGCAGCAAACTAAAAGTAAATCTGCTGATAATAGAGAGAGAGAAAGGGAACTTAAATCTAAAGTCAAGTTTTACAAATTAGGTAATTAATGCAAGAAATCTCCATTAAAACAATAAAATTTGGTCGGACCACAAGAGGATGTTCTTCTGAACACTTGGGCCAAGTGCCAAAAATTTACTACATACCACCTACCAAGCTGAACTCTAACTGCGGAAAAATATCCACGATTGTGACAGAGATCTGCTAGTTAAAACGTGAAGCCCCCAAAAGATACAATGTAAACTAAAAACTAAATAAAATCTCAGAGTCATTGCGGTCTATAACACAAATTGTCATTTTCGTAAATTGGGATCAGTGCCAGCAGATTTGACTATTTCAGAGATAAGAATAAAGGTATTGTACCAATCAATCTTACAACCTCATATACAAACATAATTCATTCATCATTCTTTCCAGATATACATTAAGAAACCGTGGAAATTTTTTCTGGAGCATAAAAAATATTTACTTACATGGTTCAGTTATCAAGTATGACTTATTAACATATCGTCATATTAACCTATCCCTAAAATGCCATCTGGTCAAGCAAAATCTCTAAATCAGTGTATCTACTAGGGGAGATATATATATTACTTTAGATTAAATTCGGCAGAAATTAACGAAGCAAAGACAACAGGTGTTGTTTGGAACACATAAGGTCACAGTGTTTTGCCAGAAAAACTAAACTTCATCATTCAGAACGTAATACATGCCCATAAGGATGAATTTTCTCCTAATTATAAACTCCAAACATATAATTAATGAGTGGATGAAAATCTTTATATGGTGTATGTTATAGGTGAAGTATGGAATAATTTTTAGGACTGAGCTTGAAATTTATGACTGTAAGCCTAATATTAAATTTAGGAGGAAAAAATATCAGTTTAACTGTCAAGCATAAATTCATCAAGTTGCCCCAACTGCGTGTCAGAATTTCAAAAATATACTGTCAACATTTACAAATACCCAGTACATGTACTATTATGTTAAACATTAATTGCAATACAAACAAGTACCTGCTACTCTTAAGATTATGTCATGATTTGGTCACATAATGTTATTTTGGTAGAAAATCAGAGTAATATTGAGTAATTTTAAACAGTAGCTGGGTGTTTTTTAACATGATTATACCAGATTAAGGAATTAAAGCATCTTTTGTGACTATTTATATAATTTCATGTCCTGCAGATAGACAAAAGTTTGATAGAAATGTTTAATCCATTTCTGGTATGGGGATTATAACACGTGAAAGCACAGGTCCCCATTAGGACTTCAGTTTTCAGTTTAAACAAGAAAACTCTAAAGTTTAAATATCCCATTCAAGAATCTGCACAAAATAAGCTCAGTAAGTCAAGCTACCAAAGGAGAAGTAGACCAATTCAATTGTTAAAGAATAGTAGGGAATTTCTATTTAGTAAATTATTTATAAATATTTCTGTTTCTTACAAAAAAGATCACAAAATTGGAAGAAGTTGATAAGATATATTACAGAAAACTTTAGGTATTAGTACTAGTAAAATACTGACCAAAGCTCAAATGTTTCTTGGATCCCTTTAGCCTGTTTTGGAGGATGAATTCTGGAGTTTTCCCCTCCCCCTCGGGGTCCATTCCATCCAATGACACCATGGGGTCGTCAGTTTTAGCGAGATCTCGTAACTGGCTGAACTTTATACTGTGCGGCAATTCATGTCCTTAAAACAGAAAATTATATACAAACAATTAGGACACTTTACTGGAAGCCGCTGAAACTCATCTGGTGGAGCGTATAAGGAAATCCGTCGTCAAGTAGTTCCGTAAAACTTAACAAAACACTTCTCGCCTCTATGTTCATTTCAAACTAACCTTTTATCAAAAACAGCATAATATTTTCCTCCAAAATACTTTTTAATCACAGCTTAATATGGAGTCTTCTTTAAAAACAGATATATTTGTAAATCCACATGGTCAATAAAAAAAAATGATCAGAGGTTAATAAACTTGGCACAAACTAAAACAGCTCCTTGTGTATCTGGAGACAAGTTATTACAAAATGACAACACAGGGTCTTCTGACATAGACGTGACTAAATGGTCATTCAGGCATAACAACTGAATACCTATGTTTACCTGTACTGGGGGCGTGTCTTTCTATTGATACTCTGCCTGTCATTCAATCTATGCATGATAAACAAAGTCCAACTACCTGTACACCTCTTATCTATATGGTGTAAGTGATCCATGAATTTTCCGATGGATTATCCCAAGTGGTAAATAATACATTTATGACTTAAAGAGCTCAAAGGACTGAGACACATATTGTAAAATAAAAACATAATCTGTAACTTTTTGTAAACTTATGTAACTCTACATATGGACTCTTTAAAAATACAGAAAAATGAAAATAATTTTTGTAGGGGAAAACCAAGCAGTCCTCATCTTGAGTTAATTATACAAAGAATTTTAAGGACTGGTTGCTTTTGAATAATTTATTTCACAAATTGAATTGTAAGTATTTTTTTAATTGTGAAACATACCTGCTTATATAAATAAAAGTTCTGACCAGGATTTAAATTCTTTAAAGAACCCAAGGACAACTCCAATTCCACCCACACAGTATAGAGTTGTGAAATAACTTAAAAGTCTCTGAATTTTTCTTTGTAGGAGACAAAATGAATGAAACACGGCAAATAAAGGAAGATCGTAGCATGCAGGGTCATCATGTTCATATAAACTCTTGAATAGTAAGGTTATACACTTCAACATAACATGTAATAAAATGCAGTCCTAATCAAGAAAAATTTCAATTTGCACCCACGAAAGAATTTCATTAACACACCCGTAAAACTTAAAAATAACATTCTACATGGAAGTTTTTGATGTTCCTGATAAAAAGAAGTTAATAATCATAAAAACTGAAATTTGAGATCAGTCCTAATGATTTTTTGTCAAATATGCGGCCATGTGAATTTTGTTGTTTACATCTGTTTGGTTGACTTCAGTCCAATAAAGGTACAATATAAATGGCGACCACACTCCCATTTAATAGAGATACCCCCAAAATATCAATGGGTAAAAAAAGAGACAACGTAAAACAAACGACGCACAGCACCCTTGTGAACTCCCCCAGTCATGGTACAAGGTGGTATGTCACCTCAAAACAACTGTTAAAGTAAATCCTTTAATGTGTCACAAAATGTTTCTTTATATTGGTTTCACCGTGTTATATGTTATAACAAATAAATTTCAAAATTAAAAAACAGGCTATTGATAAAGGTTAAATACGGTCAGAAAAACATCTTCATAATAAAATCCTGCCTGCTGATGTAGTTCATATTTTGAGCATTTAAATGCAAACACCGAAAAATATATATCTCAGTTAATCCCTAGAGGTGCCAGGTTTCTCTGTTAAAATGCTCTGAAAATAATAATCCCCAAAAGAGAAACTCTAATTATACTGTATTCAACATTCTAGTCCACATTTTCTTTCCTAGCTTAGAAATGAACTTTATTTTGTTGAAAAATCTACAGATTAAAAAAAAAAATGAATATTTTGATAATCCAAACAATTTGTTTTTCTATATACCAGAACATGTCATCTTAGTGAAAGTTAGTTCAAGAGCTGCTATGAGGTCAAAAACTGGCTTTATATGCTACGCATGGTCCAGCTGTACTTGTGTATTGACATACACTTGGGTAGTAAGCTATATATTTAATATATTTATATACACAATTTTTTCCTGTGTTGCCTATCAGTTGAAAAGTTTTGTAAACATTGACCACTGTTGACAAAGATAAAAATCGAACTTTTATCCATAACATGATTGTGGGGATAATGTTCTATATTTATTGTGTGGAAAAGTTTGGGCTAAAATTTAGACCAAAAAACTTCTCAGCTACTAGGTCAATTACTATCTGCACAAATATGTATACTTTGAAAACAGTACTCAATGTGATTGTTTGTAAACTGTAAGAAAAACATTTGACATTGGACACGTGGCTGTACATACAATTACGACCCAAATCTGGGTGAAATACCAATCTTTCATGTTTTTACAGCATAGAAATTATGTCATTTCTATGAATCAAAATTCAAAGCATGTTTGCTAAGGCACTCAGAACTGCAATATATAGTTCATACAATTTGATCAATGTATGCATGGGTAAAACTCTAGACAGACCTTGAAATTCTTTATCAATTTTTTTTTTATTTTAACATTTATTTAAGAGACCAACTCTCCAAAGAATTATTTGTTTATGTGGTAACTCAGTGAAATCCATTACTGTAACAATAAATTAAAATTCTGCCCTGCAAAAAGATGTCGATAAAATGCTTCATCAAATATCTAAAATGCATCTAATGTGTCTCTGTCACAAAAGACAGAAAATTCCATACCCTTACTTAAAGGTCCATATAAAATCCTAAAAAATAGTGATCATGAATGAAAAGTTTCTCCTTTATATGCATAATATATTACACGCAAACCTGAAGTCTCCTGCAAAGAGTACTTTCCAGTTTCAATTGGCATATATAAACATATACAACAAAGCTATGTTTCTCAATGGTACGTGAAAGAAAAGACAAAAATATGTATTAAAATCATTTAGATGTACGACATCTGGATCATCTACTTAAATTATACAAAAATTTTGTAATTCTATCCAAGAATTTTGCTGCCCCCTTTCTATCTTCCTTTTTTTTTTCTTTCTTTAGAACTAAGCTTTAAGGAGACAAGAGAATTTAACACAGATCAGGTAACCCCTTTTAAAGAAGATTTCATATTCTCTGTGATTGAGAAATTAAACATGCCAAAACCAAACAGAGTTCACAAACATGGGTCAATCATACTCGTCTCCAGAAGACTATGTCTTATGACACCCATCGACAAGAAAGGCCGCCAACAGTGATGATAAGGTTTAGAAATGGTGTGAAGAGGTTATTGTGCTGAGAAGAAGTAAAAAAGACAAAGGTTTAAAACTTCAATTTTAAAAAAAGGGAAACGTACTGTCTGTTTTCTTAAAACGGCTGTAGGTAGTATAATCATTCTCTAGACCCAGATCTAGTTTAAATATTAATCATGCTGTTGACCGGGTCACGTTTTGGATTTCACGTTCTGAAACTACACGTGCAAACAGTCTCGTATATTTATCAATAAATTCAGTACTTCATTGCTTCTATCCCAATTTCACTGAAAAAATATGTAAATATAATCCTGGCCATTACCCAGTAATTTATTTACCAGCACCTATGAGTTACATGTGATTAGTACATAATTTTATTATGTGTTTGTGGAGACTGACTGTCGTCCACTTATTATACTACATGTAGATATAAGCATATAAAATGAAATTTCAAAAATATGTTCATAACCTAATATCATTCTATGAATAAGTAACAAGCATATCTATGAATAAGTAACAATTAAGCAATCTCATTAAAATTAGATATACGTCAATTAATTCCCTCATTTTCTGTATGCCGCATGGACACAGAGTGGAGAAAAGATCTAATTTTGTAACGAGAGCTGTGGTGGGTCTTCCAGTTCAAATTCTTAAGTTGTACGTATGATACGAAAAATAAACTGAAGTTGGAGGGAAATAAAAAACAGTACTAATGAAGAATTTCAATTGTTTATACGATTTGACATTTTGAAAGATTTTGCTCTACATTTCTATCTTCAAGTACTTCTAATAACCTTTACATTATGTCTTGATTACACATCTTAAGAGGTTCCCAGGAATCTATATATATAGGTATATGTATAGACACCTCAAAGTTTAACAGCAGGTCATGTATACTTTCAATCTTATTTACTTAACAAAAAAAGTTCTTAGACACGAGATCATTCACACGATTTTAACACAGAAGAATAACCTGGTTAGAAATTCTATTTAAATTTGCCCCTTTATTACATTCCTATGCACTTTTATCTAATAAATGCAAAAGTGTACACGATTCAAGACAGCCACCCAGCTGACCATGGGGTATTGTAGTTTGATTTGCTGAGCTGGACGGGTACAGATTGTGACTTTGTGTACCAGAGGAACTCATTCTAGATGTGTTATCACATTCTATATTTACAACAGGATTGTTTAAAATGTCAATGAAAAAGCCAGATGCCATTGTATGAATCTAAATTAAAACCCATATACTTCTTTTCTTCAAATTTTACATTTAATTACCTGCATCAGTTCAACTTTCTATAATCCTCATTTTACTGGTCTATATTATGTTATAAGTATTGGAACATCATTATTTCAATCATTTCATTTTACTTATGTCTTTATTGAACCTTTCATCCAATAGTTATTAAGTTCCATTCCATGTACACCTCAAATTGGAAATGTTACTTAATTACCATCTCAGTAACATTCAAACCTGCATTGACTCCAGTGTATATATATTTAAATTTGTCTATCAGATACTTACTTTTCAAAATGGACCTTGACCCAAGACAATAGGGCTCTACAACATGTACATATTATTTTTGTACTTACCAATAAGGGGGTAGGGGCTTTCTTCTTTTCCAGTTTTCACCCACAGTTGGCATTCGCTGGCCTCCGATTCCTGAGAAACGAAACATTGGAAACATGAAGTCTCGTTATTGCTCTCGGTATTCAGGACATACTTTTGTTTTCTACGCATATTTCCCTGGCATAATTTTTTTTAATGTATGAACTGTCCAAGTCATGCTTAAACACATCACTCCTTCTGCGACATTTCACAACTTATCTACCCCCCAAAAACGCAAATATTTCCCTCTAATTTGGGGTGTGAAACACTTGAGGAATCATGTGAAGTGAGATAAAGTCACAATAATACAATAAAAATTTCCCGCTACGATTTACACACTTTGTTTTTTTAGTCAACAAGATGTTTCATAATTAGAGAAAAACAATCCCCTCCGACATTCCTCTGTCCAGGTAAGATCTGGCCCCGTGTTTGCTCTGTCACAGCCGCCGATGATAAACGGTTTGCTTAGAAAGCACGCAGGTGGGGGTAATATATTGCTGTGCTTTTTTTCTGGACGTTGACAAGAACCATCATCCCTAGTTATATGGACTGCAAAGTCTTAACCTTATTCACAATCTTACTTTATCTTAGGAGTAACTGTCAGACCATAGAAGTCATTAAGTCATGCACTAAAACAAAACTTCAGGCCCTATAGTCGTAGCCAGTGATAAGAGGACAGTGTCATATATATAACATCAAACCAACACCTGTATCAGTTGATTGAGATAATGCAAGGTTATAACTGTGTATTGACTTCATTTTGTACTTCTAAGTATTTATGCTAATTATATAATTCCAAATAATAGATATTTATAATTTGATGAGCACAATGAGCCAATACATTACATTTTCATGTCCTGAAAACTGAACTAGGATTTAGTGAGTGTTGACTTGGCTTTGCATTTACCATAAACAAAACCCTTCCAAGTTCAATATTTTGTGATATTTATAATTTAAATGTTTTACTTCCTGAGTCTTTTCTATTGCCCATTTACTCCATTACACTCTCACTTATTTTTTAGAAGTTTCCTTAACATAATTCCCCCCGTTTATAATTATCTTACTCGTAAAAAGTGATAAATCAGTGTATTTGTTAAACACGTAATACAAAGTACATCAAAGAAACTTTGACGCATCACCTGCAGTAACAGATATACCTAAGTGTTGTGTTTATAAACAAAAAGCAAAATTTACAAATAAAGCTGTATTATTATCTTGTGGATACGTACATCGCAGATTCAAACCAACAACAGAGAGCATCTGTGATGACTATAATTAAATATATCACCGCTGCACCAGTCACAATTAATGTTTCACTTTTATTGTGATCAAATCATGATTTATACTTTTAATAATAATGTGTTTCCAGAATGACATTTAAATCAGTAACTATTAATAATTTGACTTACCGTGATGTGAAATTTGCTGATGCACTGTGTCAACAGATCCTTGGCTGTGGTATGATTGTCTATTTGGAGTGTGCATGTCTAAAAAGAAAAATTCAGAATTGATTTGAAAAAAAATGCCTATAATCATTAAAAACACTGCTTTCCAAGTAAAAACTGAGTTAATAATATACTTCCATCTTATCAAATTTGATTCCATTTACCTGCAATAAAACAGTGGCCATATCATTGATACTTAAACTCTATACTCTTCTGTTTGAAAAACACATTTCCCAGACATGTTATTTCAATAGTGACCTGAGTAGACCTGGAATTCCATGAAGTCAATTAATCAAGTGTAATTATTGACTGTAATTAACCACAACACCTTTTGTGGACCAATTGAAACTCCAGGTGTGATAAGCTGGGTACTTATAACTCTAATTAAGTCCATACAGATAAGTATATATTACCTGATCAAGGTCTCTACTGTGTACTTTCACTTTAACCTTTTTATTGGCTTCTTTCATTTTCTCCAATTCAATGGTTCTGAAAATGTAATTGACATAAGAGTGCTTACTTTTTCTCCTTTAATTCAAATCTTTAACATATAACGAACCAAAAAAAAAAAATTAAGACTGTAATATTTTCCCTGTAAATTTTAAATATTTTCAATCATATTCCAAGATTTCTTGGAGTGTATTTCCCTTGGAGTGTATCCTGGGTAATCTTCAGTACTCTTGTACTTGTTTAGGTACCCAGCACACATCTTCAGTCATAATATGGAACTAATAATTTGGTGGTAATGAGTATTTGTCTCTTATTTCTAATGTTTGTAAACAATAGCTCACTGAGAAAAATGTCCCAAAACAACCTGCTAATTAGATTATTAAAAGGATAATTGACATGCTTTTGCAGGTCCCTATGTAGTTTGCTAAGGTTTATCCCAAAAAAATAAATCAATTATATTGCAAGCCAGGTGAAGAGTATAAATACAATATACACAGACCTGCTACTCTTTTCCATTATTATGCAAATTAAAAAATATTTTTCAGAACAGTTGTACTATATTCTAGGGAAGCCTACTCAAACTTGTATGCAGCATGTAACATTCATCATATGTTCAAAGGTGAACTTAATGTATACTACAAGACATTCGACTGAACTCATAACGTCAAATTGATCGATACACTGTAGAAGCCACAAAAGTTTGTTCCATTGTGACAGAGTACTTTTATTCATAAATTTTATACAGTCTTTATGACAATAAAAGTAGGTAAGTTAAAATGACCTTCACCTTGTTTGTTTCAAAATGTCAAAGTCACATGTAACAATTAAAAAAGTCATTCAGTGTTCCTTACTCATTGAGTTTGTTGAGCCAGAGTTCCTTGAGCTCCACAGATTTGAAGGTCGCCACAACATTGGTGACTGGCCAACCAAGGACAAAGGATTTATCTGGTGGCAAGGTTGCCTCGGAAACATCATAGATACATGTTGCTAACCACATCTCGCAAACTCTTATCCGGTGCTTTAGTTTGAATGTTGTGCTGGATCTATAAAGGACAAAGTTGGGCGTCATGTACATAGCTTTATACATTTTCATGACAAACTTAGTTGAACCTTAAGCTATACTGAATTAATTTTCATCAATTAATGTCCACATTAAAAACTCATTCCTTACTTTTGTTTGGCCACCAATAACAAATCATTGAAGAGAAACAAGTATCTGTCTTGTGTTTGCATTCCCTGGAAAAAAAAAATTCTGACATCAATATGTGTGAATTTATCTCCATTATTCAGAGATAATACTAATTAAATCTTCATAAAACAGTGCCAGTGATATTCCTTAAAGTCATTTGGTGATGTTGATGTAAAATGTTGAACAATGAAAATGAATAGATATACACTCATTAAGTGCTAAGTAGCTAAAAAGAAAGTAAATGTTATTACGAACATTAGTTAATGTATGAAAACAATAGACGATTCTATAGTGTTTGGTGTCATTAAAACCTGACGGGCATTGTCTGTGATTTATAACATCAGGTTGGAATTTTGAAATGTTTTGTTTTTTTTGTAAAAAAAAAGTTCTAATCTGCATAAAAAATAGAGACTATTATGGGAGGGAGTTGGGATTAAAAACACACAAGTATTAATGTAGTTTTTCTAAAGATCCAACTGAGCATAAAAAGGAACTTAACTTAGTATAAAAACAACTGAAAATGATAAAATACAAGTCCATTTAAATCTTGCAAAAACCACAAAAATTCTCTCCAATTCCTGTATCAAAATAATACATACATTATTTAGAATCCCCTTTTTCAAACATCATGAAATGTTAATGAAATGCAATTTAATTCATTATATGGCATATCAAAATCTGCCGATTAATTTTAAATATGCATGCATGGTTTTAATAAAAGGTCATTGTAGAAAATGCAAGCTAAAAAATGTTTGACCACTTTACTTTAAATGTGTGTGTGTATGAGTATGGTTTTAATAAAAGGTCATTGTAGAAAATGCAAGCTAAAAAATGTTTGACCACTTTACTTTAAATGTGTGTGTGTGTGTATATATAATACACATATAACCCATTATCTCTCTCTCTCATTGGACTGAATATTTTGAAATATGTTATCTTTGCAGTAATCTTTACAATCCTTAATTCATGTAATTATTCCAGCTTGTTGACTCTGTATTATTTTGTGTCCAAAATTGATATACAACAGACATATATTCATTCATAAAATGTTAGGTTTTGCTAATTCATGACAAAAACTTATCATCAACATCTACCACTCTAAGTATCTCGTCGCTTGGCAATGCCGCAGCCTTGCATTTATTAAAGAGCATTTGTGCCTCCTAAGCGGAACAGTTTTCATCTTTTAATCACTTTTTAATGAACCAGTGCACCTTTTCGTGAAAAGATTCTATTTAAACTATATTTTTTAAATACAGACATCGTTAAGCACGGAGTCTTTTTCAATGTCTTATTTTCTGCAGGCTTAAAGTGCCTCATTATGACAGTATTTTTTTCATATGCGATTAAATCGATAAAGGTGACCGATTTTTATGGGCGTTGGTTTTCTAGCACAGCAGGAGAATTATTTACAAGGACATCCAAAATTTTCTGTTTCACTGAAAAGCATTCATAAAAATGTGGAGCAGAAGCCTGCATATACAAAACAAACACCTGCTGCAATATTGTCACAGATGTATGAACCATGGCTATCACAAAGTGTTAACATAAATCAACCTTAGAATCTACAGTAATTGTTATGATATGACAAATATTCTCTCCATGTCCACAAATCAAATGGACCATTTAAATTGATTTCACTGTAATAAATATCTTAGAAACCATTAGGAAAGCTTTATCCTGGACCAAAGGCAGTTAGCTCCACCACTAATGTGACCTAGAATACTGCATATATAATATGTCAGACATTTCTTCCCTCTAATTTTCTCTGGAGGGACTATTTGGTAGCCTTTGACTATGAGGTCACAATCACCTCGTGATAGGTACATCCAGGTCTGATTTATGGAGACGGGTATATAGATACCTGATACCGACAGAATTTTGCGTCCTACAGGGCTTACTTATACACCACCCTAGTTTATTCTTCGTCACAGCACTATAGATCTGGAAAGATGTTTTAACCTAAATACTTTCTTTTCCCCTTTCTATATATATAAAGCTTCTAGCTATAGATGGTTCAGTATTTCAAAGCCATTAGAAAAGTCAATACACTTTTATGAAAGATCAAAAGAATATGTTAACCTAGTGATATGATTGCAAAGTATGCAATTTTACAGTTATAACTAAAAAAAAATAATCAAAGAAAGGAAAATCATTTTGTTGCACTTGTCTGATATATATTTTAAGTGCATGGATAACATTATACCAATATCAATGTGCCTTATCCCCCCTAACCCCAAAATAATGTATTTTACAGGCAAAATATTCTGTTTTTTCCTTACCTGTGCAAATTCCACATGGCCCTCCAAGATAAACTGTCTTTGAGAATTTCCTCCATGTCTCAATGGATTCACCAGGTCCATCTCCTTTTTACCCATGGAACTATTTGACCTACAAAACAAACATGATCACTTTCATTCTTTTCAATTTTATAAGCACAAAATTATAAATTTTCCTTAGAGGAGCTGTCTTTATCTGCTGCATACACTGAAGATTTTATTTAAAATTTGAATAAGGTCCGAAAAAAATAAATTTAAGTTTTACAAATTGTAAAATCCTTGTACTGTATTTATCTAAAGGTAACAGAATATGAGGCTATAGCAACAATAGACTTTTGTATTGTTTACATGCTGTCATTAACACACTCTTGTTAGAATGGGAACATGTTACAAAAATGCCAGACCAATAAAATATTTGTCAAACAGTTTGTATGTACAGGGTTTGTCATCTATTTTTGCTGCTTCTTTGCCACATGCGGTCATGATTTGTACTAGAATGACATAATTCATATTCATGTAAGACATTTAAAATTGCATCAAAAATATGCGTCGATCTTTACCAGAACACAGCTATTTGATCCTCGTTGGGTGCTTTTATGGGATTGTTAGACAGTTGTATGACCTCATATTAACTCCTATTTTCTGTATGATAGTAAATTAAGATTGACTTAAAATGGGGTGCAAGATCTGCCTCTTCAACTAACTAATAAAGACATCTAACTTAAAAGATTGACTTCCTTTGATGTTTGGTTAGAATTCTTGTGTAAACCTACCATGTTGACCCTTAAAAGTGGGGGTGGTTGGTGAAAGTTTGACAAATGTCCCCAAGTAAACACAATTCACTTAAGATATAGGGAGGTTTTTCTGGTATTGGAGTGTTCCTGTATGTAAAACAGCCTTTGCTTTATGTTGATAGAGGAATGTGTATTGAGACTTTTATTTTAGTTATTTCAGAACACCACACCATTCACTTATTATTCTTAATGGGTCCTTTTTTTAAACACTTATAAATAAGCAAATTTAGCAAACATATACACGGAAAGCTAAAAGACATTGATACCATTCTTTTTTTTTTTTTTTAAATCTTGATTTCAAAGCACATACATGTACTACATTTCCCCTTAACATGACTTCCTTACCACATAATAATATAATGACAATGTATAAATTAAGAATTGCTGCATGGCAGAGCTAGATTTCAAACAACATATAATTACTTCTTGTAGGAGTGATGGATGAATTATTAATAAAAAGAAAACACCTCAACTTGAATGTGTACATAATATTAAGTAATTAAAGCACAAATATGATTTAAACATATCATTTATAGAATTTATTTTCTTTCATCCACCAATGGAAAACTATTTACTTAAGTACATAGGAAACATTAAGCTACCTAATATATTCAGAGAGAGGTCACATTATGATTGGAAAAAAAAACGAACTTCTCTCATACAATCGGTGAAAAAGGGATATGTTAATGACCCCAACCTATAAAATATTGACAAAAAAGAATTTCAGATTTACTCTATGGTGGCACAATAGAGTCCTTTCACTGTTTACCGCTAACTTATAAAGTCAACGTCTTCTGAAGATCACTATAAACTTGTGAACTTTTCATCGTGACGTAAAACATTAAACGGACTTGATATTAATCATATCTACAAAAGCATTATAGCCCATCACCTTTCAACCGAAAAATTCACCATGATATTCAAGCCCTGCTCTCCCTTTTTATGTCTGAAATTTTCAGTCCATATATTTATTTGTATACATAATTTTGCCCATCTCTTGGGGTATGCCTGCACTTTGAATGGCAAAGCTACAATTTTCACTGATAAAGAGGTCATTATCACTGTATACATTGGCAACTCTTTATATGTCTATAAATAGTACACCATGACATATTACTTATGCAGTCCTATGGTGTCAAACCCTGTACAATAGATGCATTGATGTCGCTGTCTTCAGAGGTCATAAAAAATTCTTGACAGTTTCTTTGTACCACATTACAAGTTTATGTGCAGTGCCAATGACCAAGGTACAATTTTCAATGAAAAGGAGTTTTTCTCCCTCTAAGAGTGAAATCTAAGATCACTTAAATATCATTATAAATATTATCAAATCCAAATTAAACTTAAAAAAAAAAAATTTGTGTGTATGTCTCCTACCTTTCTATTTAATCATAATCCCAATACACCTTTTAGTTATCCTAATTTGAAACATAACTCTATAGAGCCCATACGAGCTGCCTTTATAAGAGGTTTACTTCTATTTAACTGTGTGTGGGACAGTAATCTATTCTACATGCATTAGATAGACCCTTTTTTTGGCACAATGGACATTATAATTGCTCATTCTTCTCTTCAGCCTGCATATTATCCTAATCCCTTTATATATCAATTAATAAACTTTTTTAATCTGTCTGTTCGTTGTTTAACTTTAACAATAATGTCTAATTTGATGCATGTGTCACGTCGATAGGGCAAAAGGTTTGTAGAACATATCGTACTTTTGTTACAATGTTGTGTATACAGAATATTTACTACCTACATGTTAAGCCGTATTGATCTAACAAACTATGTAAAAGTCCTCCTTTTTTTACAATAGACCTTCTCAACATATTTTGCTGTGATCAATGATCAAGGAAGCTAGATGAAATCTTTTTTTTTATACATTAATTTTCGACATATGCCTACCAGATGTTTGAGACTTTTTTCTTGATCAGGGTATACATCGTCAAGTCTGCTGGAATGTTGATAAACTATTTAAGACATAATTAATCCACACACACAAAACTTCAAAGCACTGAATTATCCTTCCCAAGTCTTGAACCTTCACAAAACATTTCTTCCTTCAAATAAACTTGGAATTTCTTAAAGACTAAATTTCATCGGATTCAATCCAATAGAGGGATATAAATTCAAAGATGTTTCAGACCCCAAAGAGTTTCCTTCACTAAAATATCTTCCATGATGTAAAGCACGAGTTAATCATGTTTTTTATCCATCGAAAAATGTTGGTACCATTTTAAGCATTGTATTCCCCAAAATCAGCTCACTTTCTTATGAAAAAGTTGAACTCAAATTATTCCTTAGCAATGACTACATAATAAATAATCCAAATTCAAAGATGATATTCTGTCCACAGCCACAAATGCATACATATTTTCCTTCAGATCAACCCTATGAACCTCGAGACACCAGAAATAACTTTTTTACACGACCATTATGATGTGTTGGTCTGAGACATTTATCATGTAGTTGTCAGTGGCCTGTCTCCCTCACGGTCACGCATCACTAAACAACATTCTACACAAACCAATTACTGACCAGGGCCTCAAAGACAATCGAGACATTCGATCCAGACTTATTCAGTACCGACCAACTGACTGACCATTAATACTTGTGGCTGTCCAGTGTCTTAAAAACACATGTTCTTGTGTCTTGTAGCAGTCAACTAGTCATTTGATTGCATGTATGTGCATAAATGCTATAATGAATGTTTTCACAGTGTCATCTGACATTTACAAATACACAACCTGGTGTATTTTAACTTGTCAAGATGTGTCTTCACATCCAAAAAGCAGGTAAAAGTTCAAAGGTTGATCTACATCTGCTTCAGGTGAGAAGAAAAACCTCATGATTTATGATAATTCTGCATTTTGTTTAAGGCAGACATTTTACATTAAGAAGTCATTTATATAAATCCCAGAGGATTATTAGGAACACAGAATAAAAAAACCTCTCCTCCCATATACAGTAAAACACACTTCTTGTGAAGTGCCAAGGATGAACAATTTTGATTCAATGTTATAATTTTTTATATCCCATAAGTTCAGGGCACATTTTTAAACTACAGGGAATGAAAAATTCAATTAATTTATTAAGTATTATTTTAGTGTATGTGGTCATCAGTTTATGAGAAAAATATCCCTATTCTCATTTATAGTCTTGGTTCACATAATTTGTGTAATTATTTAGTTCAACTATTAAATATTATCTGGTTGTACTTGAACCAGGTCAGAGCCAGATTTGGGTTAAGCTTTTTATTGACGGTTACGATGGAATACTGCAAGTTCACTATGTGAGTTATGTTGACAAAGGATTAAATTTGGGAATATTTAGCATTTACAAAATATATCGTTATCAATTCTTGTGTATTTAACCTTGCGTACGCTTTTTATAACATGCCTAATATTTCATATATTGAAGAGTTATCTGCATTAAATCATCCAGGCCAAGGTCTAAGAGACGTTTACTTTGTGGCAGTGCAGAAAAAAACCTCTTATCTCATCAAAGGTCTAGATGGCAATAATTTTCAATATTTAATTATACGACGGACCATGAGAAACGACCCCTTCATCAAAGCTTATACAAGGACAAATAGTGCAATAATGAAAAAACGGTAAAAAAATGATTAACAAATATTTGTCCTTATATGCAAGAACCTACCTCCTGTCTTGATAATTGGTTTTTATTCCCCCTCGGCTCATTTTTGAATTAATAAATTTTTTTAAAAATCACACAAGATACTGTTTCCCTTCATATATATATAAATCTATGTATCCTGCTTTCTACTTCCAAAATATAGAGCTGTCTATGGATACATTTTAACAAAGGAACCCTGGATATTCTATTGTTCTCCGACATATGTTATATTTACTAGATCAATAAAAGCACAAAACTCTAAAGTGTTTCAACTTTTACCATGCAGGCCAATACACAATTAAAAAAAAGTCAATTAAAATTTTTCTCTCATGCAGACAGACAATAAAGCTTAAAACCAATTCTTTTTTGCTGTTTTCCCTTGACTGTCTTAATTCTTGACCTGTCTAGTCAAAAGTTTGTAATATTTGGCCAAAAAGAGCACCAGTCTTTGACACAAGATTTATATAAACTTACCATAGGTTAGAGGAACTTCGGTTCTTTCCCAGAGTCTTGAACAGAACCGCACCGGGAGCCGACTTTCTTCGGGCTGACAGGCTGCGAGAAGTCTGTAATGAAACAGAATCACTCTTGAATGCACAAGTCTGGAAAAAAATAGGGCTGACTTTTTAAAAAAATCTTTTACCATGAAAACAAGTCTTGTTTTTAACTCATAACAACCAAATAAAAAAGAAATTCTTGTTTTCAAACTGTACAAAAATGTGCCGATATAAATTTTCAACAAATGAACTTAAAGAAGTTTTCCTAACCCTACAGAGATATATATTTCTGTGAATAGTTCTAGTATATGTCATATCGTAGCTCAATCTACCCATTAATTGAAGAAAATCATACATTATAATCAATCAACATCTATGAAATTTTTTACCTCAGAAATATACATGTGTAATAAACAGCATTACGGGTAGTACCCAGTTAAGGACAATATTTTATACATACATCTAAAGTTACCCATCTTTAACACACAGTCAACAAACTGCTTGATAAAAAAATTAGATAAGACATCAAAAACAATCAAATATACACATGACAAAATAAAACCTTAAAACATTTGTCTCATCTCTCGGCATCCATAATTCCATCAAAAACCTGTAGAAATCTTAAAATCTCATGGATATCAAAAATGTTTCACATAATCCCATACTACCAAAAAATACACGTCATATCTCCAAAAATCCATAATAAATATGACAGGTGTGAACAAACGATCAACTATCTAGGTCGCCACATTTCTCTTTCTAACCGATCTACACAAAAATATGATAATCAATCAAAGTATTTTTTTCCATGCATTCACTTCATTAAGACGTGTGCTTGTGACATTCCTCCTAAAATATCTCAGTTGTCCAGCCGACTCCGATATGGACAATCCCCCAATTACGAAAAACAGACATCCGATAAATCCCTCGTACACCTACCAGTGTTTTAAAACGTCTTCTCCAGCGAGGAAATTTCACCGTCATCGTCTTATATCCTCACCTCCACATGAATATATTTTTTTTATCATTTTGTCTTCTGGCTATACAAATTTTAGGCAAAATTCCTTCACTGAATTATTTACACCATATAATGATGTATCACTAGATATAAGCTGATTTTCTCTTTTCATACTAAGGATTTTAATATGGTCATTATTTGGCAAAGTGCATAAAAAAGTGCAACATAAAAGAACAATTTTTGGTGGAATGACCTTCAAATTTAGCCGCCAAATCATAAAGGCATGAAATATGTACATCTCTCTCATTATATATGTCCACTTAAGTGTGACAACATTTTCTTTCCTCTCAAAGTCAGATTAGGGATACCAACAAAAAAATTCTTTCAGAGGTCAAATCTACCGGGAAACAATAGAATTTCCTCCTTCTCTTTATGGGACAATAGCAGGATAAAATTAAAAGGCCACGGCTGAGGGATTCCTTGCTTTCATAAAGAATAAAATTGGGATAGTGTATCTCAATAGGGCCATGGAAGACATAGTTTGGGTATAAAGCTATGGAATTAGTATATCATATCTATTGTCTAAGCCAGTGGGTGGTGTTTGGAATGTATTCATGGATGGATATGGGAGATTTCAAAGTAAACAAAAGAGAAAAGAAATTAGATAACTAAATATTTCCATGGAATTTCATCCCTTTGTGGCCTAAAGGATATTGAGCAAAGTTTTTTTTTCTCCCTCTAATAAAAATGAAAACTTTTCTAAAACCTTAGTGAAGTTGAAAGTACCTTTTCAATAACATTTACCTATTTCATCCAATAATTTATAGATCATTCAGTAAAAATTAGATATTCTTATGATCGGACACTAACTGCTTTGAAAAGATAGCATAACTTTGTTTTTCAATGCAGAAAAGGAACTTAAGAAGGTTAAACACAATACTGATTCTTAAGGCTTAAAACTAAATGCAGTGCCAAAGAAAAACTTATCTCCATACAGTATTTCCAAATTGAGTTTATAGACTGAGTCTAAATTATAGCATAAAATTAAAACTGTTCATATGTATGATCCCAAAACTGTATACATGTAAGTCAACATTACATTGTAAAGAAATACTTGCCTAAGTTAATATGCTTGTGTAAAAAGGAAATAGTTATTACAGATGAAGATGAAATAAATGCTCTAAGTTTGGATCATATTCCCAGGTATATCATACTAAACAAAATACAGAACAGAACAAGTTCATTCATAGATTTACACCCCCCCCCCCCCCAAAAAAAATATATAAAATTTTTGCACAGCTCAACTTAACAATTAATTCTGATTTAATATATATTTTGATACTTTTCAAATGAATTCTTACCTTCTCCTTATCTTAATTAATAAATACTCCCTCTAGATGACAGATTTTCAATACACTTCATTTTAAAAACAAGGAAATTCTTCATTCTGACTTCAGTCACCAGTCTCTGTATTTACAAACCACCAGGCAAATGGTGCTAACATATAGCTTTCTGTCGTCAAACTACTATTGAACAGCGATTCGATTTCGGGATTTAGCGCACTGGGAGATAAAAAATTTGCATTTATCACCGAGGAGTTGTTTTCTTTAAAGTGAAAATTCCTTTAGACTTAAATTAACACAGTAATTCACTCCTTCCAAAAAAGAAAATTGTCACTTCAATCAAAAGCACAATAGATGATCTACAAGCTTAGGCAGTATATAAACCGTCCAGCTTATCGCTGCCTTTTTTTGTCCCCTCGCCAAGAACCTCATGGAATGGTCATACTGGAGATTGTCTTTTACAAAGAGGCCTCAGGATTCACCTGTTGTGAGGATATAGCCTCTTAATATCGGGGTTTAATTATGCCTTTTTGAATGGAACATTCAACATGGATCGTGGCTTTATGCTTGGGGTATTTAATCTAATCCAAATTGTTGTGCACCGAGGAGTCAACCGGAATGTGGCAGACGTCAATTCCCTGTGTCAAAAGCCTCTACGATCTGTGTATACTTATCAAAAAATTGGAACTGTTCTCAAAAAAGTTTATGTGTCCTGATGCTAGTGGAGAAATTAGTCCATATGTTCTACTCAAGTCAATTAACTAAATCCCATCACACATCAAAGTCTTTTAAAAAAATAAAGAACTCTCGCAATTCAAGCCTCATTCATTTGGAAAATCTAAATGTTTGGACAAGAGATTTTTCATTTTTCTCATTTCGCTGGGCTGTTTCATAATCAAACAATAACAACATTAAGAATACATAAAAGCTTACAATGAACTTCAGGAAATAATTCCTTATGAGTTTCCTTCTCCGAATTCCATGGTGTAGAATGAGACACCTTTCTAAAGACGTGAATTCTTTGACTAACGTAGAATAAACTATACTTCATCTGTTACTCTGGAAACTCTTTTCAAACCAAAATTACTCAAATTTTACCTATCACAAAGAAAATCGGGCAGAGGAGGAAATTTAACCCAGAAACATTCAATAGAGAAAAACAGGCAAGATTTAAAATCTCTTTCCTACCTATTTATGATTTCTAAAGAATTCTAAAAACTACTAGCCCATCTTTCCAAAAAAAAAAAAAAAGGAATGATTAAAATTGACAGTCTATACAAATGTATCTCTGCATGAGAAGTATCTGAACAATGTAAAGTGAGCTTAGGTATGAAAAGACATGAAACACAAGACTCCTTTTCAAAGCCATCAAAAAATGACCCTGTCCACAAAAAATACATAATGGTTGCAAAAAGACCTTGTAAGTTCCAATTTCATAATCTATATCAATTGAAATCTCTCTCTATTTGTTATTCTATGTTAATTGCAGATTTAAATGCTACTTGAATCAATCATCTATTCAATGCACTGATTCAATGAATCTATACTGTGATCATGAATCTGTGCGGTAATAAATCAATGCATCTTGATAGCTTTCTCCATAAATGAAAATGATCAAGATGCACCAGACTTGCGATTAACAAGTATGGTATAGTTGACATTGGTATCTCGAACATTGATATCTCAAATACCTGTTGAAATTTGTTAAATGTTGAATATATGTTAAAAAGAGTTCGAAGTTCCAATCACCTCCTCATACATTTTAACTTCAGTATCTCGAATACGTACCCCTCCTTTTTTTTCTTGGCCCCATCAAGTTTAAGATAACAAGGTTTAACTGTATTTGAAACCACTTGTTTGACATTTAAAAAAAATCTTATGACATTATTTAACTCTTTTATCGAATGTTTTTATTATGACATATTATCTAATAGGTCAAATTTGTGACACATACTAAACAAGGTCATTCAAAATACTGACCAGAAGAAGAAAGATGATTGGAATGTTTAGCATATACTGCATCAATAAATCAAATGTCCACATGGTGACCCCAAAGGACAATTCAAACTTACTGGTGGTGTATTGTCCCTGAGCTGGAGGTCATCGTTAGGGAAACGCTGTTGAATTCGATCCATTTTAATTTGGTCGTTGTTAGTTCCCAGTTCATCCTCATGTTCTCTTACCATCTACAAAACAGTCAAAGATTAAAAACCAATCTAAGCAACACACATGAAGGTTATATGAGTAACTTTAGGTTTGGTACTACATGTATACAAATAAATCTCAACTGCATTTTATTACTGCAGAAACAATAACATGTTTTCAACAAACTTTTTTGCCTAAGTGAACTTTCTTACAGCTGCTATAACAATGTCTCCCTCTTCCCAAATACATCATAAGTGACGGAGAAATACTAGGTCAAAAAACTCATTTTATTTTTAGAAAAAATCAAAAATTACTGCTTTATAATCACCCCCCAGTAAACATAGTAACCCAATACTTATCATGGACAGAGCGAACTTTTTATGGACTTTGAAGATCCAGATTCTGCATTGACATTAATCTCTCCTGACGTCAAAGAGTGCCGTTTTTATCAAAAGCACACAATTATCACTTGCTCCAAATACCTTAAAAACACTAAATCTCCTGCTTTTATTCAGTGGCCTTATTAAATTACACAGAGGAAGGGTGGAAGCAGATCGACATTTCTGGATAGTTTGGTCCTGAGTAAATTATCATACCCACCAAATTCAGATAATGCATTTGCCCCAAAAACTATAATCTGATTTTTGAAATAAAATCCTTTATTTTCTTCTTCTTCTTTTTTTTTTTTTATTTTTTGGTCATGTCCATCATCATATTTCAATTTTTTCATGAAATTTTACTCCAAAGTTTTGAAATTTTTTTTTGTTTTGGGGATATTAAGAAAAAAAAAATCTTACCCATGTAGTATTAAAGATCTTTGCATCCAAAATCATAAGGATAACTATATTTACAACACTAAAGAAACTTATCACTGGGCCTCAGCATTTCCTTGTAAAATTCCTATGATACAATACAAAGCCAAAGAAAACAACTTAACAATGTCACCAATGATAACCAAACTTTGTATGTATGCGACACATGGTGTTATGAAAAACTATGTCCGAAAATGTGTATTCTGATTGACAGGTGTAGGACGGTGTTATGGACATACTTATGTATAAATTAACGAGATAACGCAAAAGATTGACATCAATCGTTAGAGTCATGATGTCATTTGACCAATATGCTGTCAGCCTTGCATTCACGTTACAAATTCCTGAAATTTATTAGTCCTTGTTTTGATACAATATTTTTCTTGTTATGTACTGTTGATGATATACATTCCTTGTCAAAACAAAAATACACTACGTTATACACTGTCTTTATATGTTTACCTTCAAAGATTTCCTAAAGTAATAATTAAAACTTGTTTTTTTTTTTTTAAAAACTCAAAATATTTGTCTATAAGAGCTTAATTTTCATAAATATAGATTTTTAAACTCTTTCAATGGATGAGTCCTGTCTATAATTTTCAAAAAAAAAAAATCACAATTGATAATACTTTAAAAGATTGTAACTTCTTTCATTTGAATTGCAGATAAAAAATCTATTTGGTGAACCTGGTAATTCTTGGTTTAAATCTTTAGTCACGATTTACAACCTACTCTGTAATTCAAATTTTGAAGATTCTTTGTTAACCTTTAGATAATCACGGATCATCCTTACTATTTACTACAAACATTTTATTTATATATATACATACAAAGAAACATTTTTAGCTTGCAATACAAATATATCTCATTCGATCAATGTTATCCTAATGAACTAAGTTACCCTAAAAAATAATAAACCTCCTCAATTTGTCTTTTATATGCCTTTTGAATTGCAGATGTAGCGATTATTTTGAGACTTTGTACTCATTTGTTCTGAAAATGCTGAATTAATGTAAACTGCCTACGGTACTCTTTGAAAAGTATACTCAATTACAAAAAGTTACAAATCAAATTGTACCTATTTTAATGTATTAAATACTTATTTCATGGTATGACAAATAAGTAACTTGCCTATATTTGTCACACATTCAAGATATTCAACTAATAGAGCTTTGCAACAAAACACTTTATGCTCAACTTCTGTGGCCTTTGGACCTTTATATTAACATAATGTTTTTATACGGAAGCACAAAAACAATCAAACTTCCTGTCAAAGAATTCCAGAGACTCCCATTTCTGCCAAAATCCTGACCCCTCTGATCCCAGTGTTTACTGATATTTACCTTCTCTTTGTAACCCCCAAAATTGGCCACAAAAGACTATAAAGTTACGAGAAGGGCGTGAATTCATCTTGCTATTCAGAAAGATGTTGACGTCTAGATTTTTGGTCTATTTCTATCTCTTCAAGATCTTGAGAAAGGCTATATACATATTGCTGTTGGCATTTATTGTTAAGAGCATTCAGTTACACATTTCATTTGGATAAACACTTCATGTAAATTTGCTTTTAAAATCAGTGGCTTTGTAGATCTTTTTACCGAGTATCTTTTAATATTAATGCAGTATTAGAAATTCTAGTCAGCTTGCTTGCATACAATCCAACATAAGAGCTCCATGACGACTCTACAGACCTTTATCTTTCTAAATATACACAATATATATTCAATTCATTTTAAAATATGAACATCAATAAAACAAAATATTGGAGCAAGCTACGAGCATTGTACATTGAAAGCGAGTTGAGATATATGATGTATACTAGTAGTATTAATAATTTGTGTAAAAAAAAAATTAACAAAATAAAAACAGTTCAAATTAAGCAAATTTTCATTCGCATTGAATTTGCATACCATATGTATATATCTTGCTTTAAAAAGTGAACTGTGTAAACAAATATTAGACATTAAAAAACAGACATATTGTTCTCAAATTCAGAAGTGAACCTATTAAACCTAAAATAAACCAGTCCGTAACAGGGCATAATTCATCTGCGTCGTATAACAAGGACAACTTAAAACGTGTCATTGACTGAAATATTTAAAATCTATAATTGACACAAAAAAATAATGTGTTGTCTCCACTATCTGCTGACAACAACAACTTGTGATTTCTTCTGTAAACAAGATTTAATATATTCTGCGATATGCATCTTATGGGTCTACATGTGTTTATCACAGTTGGACATCATCGTCTTTCATGGCATTACAGAGCAATGAGGATTTTTTACCTACCGAGAGTGGAGAATAAGACAAGACAATAAATTTAATATGTTCTGATATAAATGTCATAGTTGATGTTGCTGATGAACCACAGACTTTACATATTTGGTGAACATGTTTTATTTTAACAATCAGAGTTAAATAATAAGGACATTAAACAAATGGATTGCCGCCACCAGTGACTGTGACGTAACAGGAAGTGGATAAACAATAGAACATTACAGTCTCCTGTAGTCTTTATTATAAGAAAGTAGACCTTAGATTGCAGTTATTAAATCTTTAATGATAATTATGTAAATGATTGCACTGAGGGTAATGACAGCAAAAATGTTGGATAGATTTCTACCTTTGAACAACACTCTGGACATTTAAAAATACAACTAAGTATTCAAAATATGATGTCCCTGTTAAAAACCTCAGAGACGTATGTCAGAATTTGTACATTGTCTTACAGTTTCAATAAAAAAACCACACACACAAACTATGAAATGTTATTTCCCCTTCATGCTGTTAATTTTTCAATTCTCAAGTGCCTATATGTACAATAAATATTCATTTTATGAATGACTAAAATTTTGCCAACTAAGTCTAAAGACTGCTCCATGATCCTGGTACCTGTTTTGTTTTTCCATTGATCAAGGCAATGCTTTGGCCCTGTAATCTGCCCTTTTACACACTTACTGATTTGGTCCTGTTAAGGACCTCAGAGACTTTCTGCTTTATAGCTATGTCTCATTCCAAATACAGCATTGTTTAGGCCCTGTAGTCAGTGTCTCCTTAACCACCAACCTTTTGGCCTTGTTAACAACCTCAGGGACCAACAGATGTATAGCCCTGTTTTGTCCTAATAAGGCAATGTTTCGGCCCTGTAATCTACCCCCTTTAGACACTTACTGTTTTAGCCCTGTAATCCCCTCCCCCAAGACACTTACTGTTTTGGCCCTGTTGGCCGCCTTGCTGAGATCCTCATAGTCAGGATGTTGAGGATCCGTGTCTTCTAATAGGTCACTCAGGTATTTCTCATAATCTGGGATTCTCTGAACCTACAAACAAATAAATCAACATAAATAACACATACAGTAGCAAAATACAATGTCCTCAAATAGCTAAATAAACAATACTCATATTTCCGTTCCATGGAATGAAATTTCAGATGAAAATGTATATTTAATGTACATAATTGGGTTAATTTTCACAGGTATAAATATGATCCTCTACCTTATATTTGAGTTTGCCACTTTCACATAATAATGTATTCCACAGAGATTTATTCAATGAACCATCTTTGGGAAGGAAAGAGCTATGTTTCTCAAGGAGTGTCAAGTTTTGTTTGGGACAAAATACACTGTGCTGAATGGTTTAATCGAGATATTTAATACAACTTTATAACTAAATTTTTGAATTAAAACTTAGATGACATAATTCTTCCAAGGTGAATTAAACTACTGTGTCAAACATAGGCCTGGAAATTGAATTTTGGTTAGAAAGTGCATAGAAAACTTAAAACCTCCCACGTCTCTTCAATAATTGGATTTGTATTGAACTTTTCATTGATCACAATATACCCTCAATATCTTGAACTTCTTATATCAATCATACCTCTTTAACTCATTTTAAAAAGCTTGTTTCCATTACTCAATATCTAAGTCAGTCAGAGACATTGAAGTTACTTGAACATTAAATAATTGTGTCCAAATTTTGTACTCAGCCGGGTCATTAAAGTACATGTATAATAAAAGCATGAATGAATATCTTGACAACGAGATAAAAAAAAAATATCTGAATATTATCGCCCCTTATTTCAAAATTTCTTTAAATGGAAAATAAAGGTGTGAATGCATCAAGACAATGAGATAAAAACGTCTAAGTATCAATCCCTCTTATTTCAAAATTTCTTTAAAGTTAGTACCCCACAAGAATCACATGACTTCATTCATAAAGTTCAACAAAAAAAATTTCAATGGGATTCAAAATCGTGACCTATTGGCAGGAATATCTTGGTAAAGATTTACAAACTTTACAGAGTCTATACTGAGCAGGTAGACTTAAGTACACCTGATATTTGACAAGTATTCTGATCTGAAGTAGGTCAAGTATATCAGGCAGGTATAGAAATGATGGTCGCTGTGGTATCTATAGGATTGGTCCAATAGCGCCGCAATTGTTGCAACTGTCATGCTATGTATCTGTGTCAAATTCCTGCGGTTTGTAAGTTTGTCATATATACATAGCCATGGATGAAATTTCGTTAGATAAAGTGAACTATATAATATTCATGTGGGAAAATAAGTTTTTAATTCACATGAAATTCCATGACTCAGTTGTTTTATGTGCTTATTTTAAATATTATAGGATCAATTTGGCTGAAAGTTTTACGTTAATTGCTACTTTACATTTTATACATCTCCTTTAATTCCCGTTCATTTAAAAAAACCACCAAAAGTTCAGCCATTTAATTTTGTGGCAAGTAAATAAGGGAGAGATAACCATATTAAGATTTTTATTGTTAATTAATTCCATTTTTACAAGAGTACCGACCCCGTAAGTTAAACAAAAAACTTTTTGCTACTTGACAAGTCGAGAGTCAAATAAATGAAGGGATTAAATTAGCAACAGATTTTATTTACTATACATTCTTGCTTCAGGGAATCTCAGGCGGTATTGTTCCATTTCAATTAACAACATGACTTTTACCACATTAAATCTATGTTCTCCCAAGCGTTTGTCCTCAGATTCAACTGTACAAATCCCTAATCCAATCCATTAATCTAATACATTAAATCACCCCGATACACTAAACAATCTAAAAAATTCCATCTATGAATTGTAATATATAGGCAGTGATTAAATATTTAACCTTTTCTAGATTTGAAACACACCTATATGAATCAATGTCAGAATTGCTATTTTCTATGTAGTAGTAATCCATTACACATTTAATGAAGCACATGTTGCAGCGTATTAATTTGCATAGAAATTAAACAATACAACTGCATTCAAATTCAGCCCAAAATAGAATAAGAATTTTATCAGTGATACACAGGAGGCTACAAATCTGATATTATAAACTTCATCTTCACATTATTAATTAAATGATTAATTTAAAACAACTCAGACAAAATTAAGCCTAATTATTTAATTAATAATACTTCCTTCTAAAATTCTTTAATTGCAATGTCTTCATTGGTAGATACATTTCAGATGATGGCATTTGAAAATTCATTAGACAATTTACTTTTCAAACTTCAGCAAGAAAAAAAAATTACCTCAAAATCTTCCTCCTCATGCACTGAATTCCAATGCAAGTGCCACTCAACGGCCATGTGTATATCAAAGAACATTGCAAAGAAAAATTGAGACTTATCCCTCTGTGGACCAAAACACAAACAAAATTAGTACTAAGGAATAGACCCTAACATGTGCAGTGGTGTGGGGTATAGTATATTACTGTACTTATTTAATTTATGGCTTGATTATGGGGGTTAATTTTGTTTGTCATTAAGCCCTCTAGCTTCCTTTAACTAAGTCACAACGTCAAGGCTCGGGTATTATACCACCCAATAATTCCTTCTAGCTTTCCCCCTTGTTTGGTAAACACACTTGAGGGGCCACTAAAATTTAAGCAGAATGTCATCAAACATTTTACAACTTGAATGTTCAACAAACTTGTTACAATTTGAACATAAATCAATGACAAGATCACACTTGAAGATTGTTATTCTATTTTTGTATTTTAACTTGAAACATATCATTATACATATTTTACTTTTTTCCAAAGCTATAACGTTACATACAGTCTGCGGCACTTAAAGTTGTGAAAAAGAGCAATTTACACAAACTCAGGGTCTATGAAAAAATTGTTGGAAGTTTTCCATTCAAGTATTCATTAACTTTTAATGATCTTAAAATAGGACCTTTTATTTACTCAACAGGTGCAAGAGAAATCAAAAGAAAATTACATATAAGCACTATGTTTAAAAATTCAGTATACGTACTACACACATTGGGCATATTTCTACTGGTAAGAACTCTACACCCCATTCAGAAACCAAGACAAAGATCATAAAAGAGAACATGATACAAGACTCTTCACCAAGTCAACACTAAATATACATGCTAAACCTTGAGCAAATTTACTTTGATGAAAACCTGCATAATTTCCTTGCCCATGCTTCAGATACTTGCTGTTGAGAGGGAGCGTAAAAGAAGCGCTGCTGCAGCATACCTACGCTTCAGTCATGTCAACTTTTGATCTGGGATTAACAGCTTGGGACAGGTCGTGTAAAGTTTTATCTCCATGTAAACAAAGATTACGGGACTTTTTGTTTGTAATTAGAGTATATTGAGACATTGATAAGGGTTTAATTCTCCTCAATAAATGCCCACAGCTGTGTCTGAATATCGGACATAGACTTGATAATCTGGAAATGGAAATTTGTAATTAGTGCAGTACAAAGGACTTCTGTACATTTCTATTTTTTAAGCCTTATCTGTAGGTATATGTTCCATCAGTATATTTGAATTCAATCTTGCCAAGAGCAGCTGAAACTATATGGTGCTTGTCCTTAAGAAGTCCCAAGTATGAAATGAAACTTTGTATGGCCAAAATGAAGAGACTTATAGAAAAGCAACTTTGTGCTCTTGTTTATCAATCTTTAACCTTAATAAAAATTATCCCCATTGTAAATTATACTTGATCCAATCTGAACACTATGGGTGATTGAATTTTTGCAGATATTAGGTGAAGGTCATGACTTTTGATACAATGGAGGTCCTAGTTTAAATTGATTTGATCAAAACTTCTATCAAGACATCAAACCTCCGAGATACCATCACAAAACAAGTAACGGCTCAGAACAAACCCTTGTCACAGCCCCCCTGATTAATTTCTGCCATCTCATTGACCAAGTGGGAGATGGTCCAAATTTGCTCTTGCCACACACATACATTATGAAATGTCATAAATCTACGATCTAGTTTCATTTCACCACATTTTGATATAAACCTTTGATAAAATTGCAACTTTGTAAAGGTATTCCATATTCTTTGATCACACCTGCAAGCTTTTAATGTGCAGAGGTAATAAACATTTGAAATGTAACAATTTTTTATTTTTCAATACACACTTTGTTAAATTAAGCTTTTTATTTTCTGAATTTTATGGATGTGAAAGTATTGTGAATTTGTGTCCTCTCACACAATACAAAGGAAATTTATGACCACCAATATTAAAATGCAATAAAAATTTGTCATCAAAATTACATTTCTTCAATGTTTAAAAGAAATTTAAACAACAGTCTGCAAACATCCAACTATTCCACAAAAGATAAAACATCCCTAGAATTTTCAAGAAAGGTTATAGCGAGACATTCAAAATTCATCCATCTAGCATAGCAACACTCAACAGGGTTTGAGCAGCAATTAACAAATGAATTCGATACCCTCTGATTAAAATCTCAAGAGCAAGCTCAACCAGACCCTAGACACCTCTGAACAAAAAAGTATCTTAATGCGGGCTGCTATCTACCATCTTACACCCTGTCTTTTTGTATCACAGAGGGATGTTTGTGGGTACTCGACAATGCACCGGGTAACTCCGGCATGTTGTATTGTGAGGGGGTCAGGTCAAGAATGCGACTGCACATCTAGCAGGTATTAAAAATCAAACAAGAGATGAAAACATTTGAGAAAAGGGATTTTAAATGAAGGATCGATCTCCAAAAAACAGATAATTTTTTCTCTGCATTTAGCACATTTAAAAAAATTTACTTGGTAATTCTTTGGACATATGTCAAAAACTGCTCAGATCAACAGAGATGAAGAAGAAATGAAGAGTTTGAAAAACTTACCAATATACATAAAGCATTAACGTATTATTACTATAAAATCAAGAAATGCTGAAATTAGCGCAGCTAGAGCATACACAGAATATTTCCAATTAGTGCTGAACTATTTCAGAATGGATATACTTGTAAAATAAGTAAAAGTTAAGCAAGAAGCTCCCCTGAAATCTTGAGTCAACTGTCATACAAAGCCCTTTACT